GGTGGTGGTGTTGGTCCTGGCGCTGTTGTTGTTATTGGTGTTCTGTTGTCGTTGGTGGTGGTGTTGTTGTCGTCTCTGCTGTTGTTGTCGTCTCTGCTGTGTTGTTGCTGTTGCTGTTGTTGTGGAGCATCTATCTGAAACACGCCCTCATTTCGCGATTCCGGTTCATGATATTTCTTAAACACGCCCCCTCATTTGGCGATTCCGGTTCATCACATAGGATAAACACTCCGGTTCATCATACATCATTACACAATGTGGCGATTCCAATCATACATCTTTAACGCGCCTCTCAAACACACCACCTCATGTGGCGATTCCGGTTCATCATATGTCTCAAACACGCCCCCTCATTTGGCAATCCAGGCTCATCACACATCTTTTCAAATATCTTGAACACGCCCCGTCATTTGGCGATTCCAGTTCATCACCTATCTTAAACTCGCCCTCTCATTTGCCAATTCCGATTCTGCACATTTGCTAAACTCGCCCCCAACTTTTCACGGGCCGCAGCCTGTGGAACAAGAGACCGCAGGGGGTTGGGGACCCGCAGGACCGGGGGAGAGGACCACACCCCAGACCAGAGCCAACCGTATGAAACAAAGACCGAGACCCATAAAACGCACCCACCCCCTGCGAAAAGGCAAAGAGAAAGCCCCTGACTCTGACAGTCTGACAGACCGCCGAAAATCCCGAATTCTTGAACTGGGCCAAGGCCTGCAGCCTTGGAGCCGGGCCTCGAGGCTTCGGGTCTTGGAAGTGCGCTCTTTAGACTTTAGACTCTGTAGACTCTTTAGACTTTAGGAAATCGCGCTTCAGGCCAGCAATTTCAGGGTCTTGCACGCACTAAATCGCTACAAAACTCAAAAACGAAGTCCACACATCACAACTCATCCGTCAGGTGTTGCCACACATCTTCTCGGCAGCAAGGACGAATAACAGCTGACAGTCGCCTGCAAGAACCTGCTTCGTCAAGATCGCTGAGCCCTGAACCTGACATCCTGCTTCCTGAACCCTCCAATCGAAACGCCAAATCCCAGGATCCGTCATGCTCGGCAAACACAGGCCCGAACCCTAAAACAGTATGAACACGGCACTTTGACTAGGTTCAACGCGAACGTGAGCTGAGGCTCTCCATGATTTGTTGCTACTCACTTTTTACATAGTCAAGCCCAGACTTCTATGCTCCATGCTGGACGTGCTTTTCCAACTCCAGGAAGGCCATGATTGCCCAAGAGCTGTCAGGGGCCGTGGCAGGGCTGCGTTCGGCACGGGACCCGAGGAGGGCGCAGGGAAGCCTGCGCTCATAGATCTTTAAGCCTTGGGTCTCGTCAGTGTGGCGCTCGAGTGCGTCTGTCTGCGGGGTTTTGCCTTTTCGACCCACCAAGCTTTGCCTTGAACGTTCGTCCGATCTTCAACTGTGTTACAAACCCGCTAACCAGTGAGAGGCACTCACACGCACAAGGATTAATTGTAATCTGTACTGGCTTGTCGTACCACATGCCAGAAACGACTGGTAACAACATTCAGTGGGTTCATATACATCAAGCACCATGGTTCTAGTACAAACGGGGGCACAAGATCACCTTGGTAATAAAACGAAGGGTTCGGAAAAAGATCTTGCAGCGTCTCGACTACATGCCAACAGGAGGCACGCGAGCAGAAAGGCAACTTGTCGCATCCTGAGAGATGGCCTTTCGCGACAGGGTTGTCTTGGTGAGGAAAGCCATCTTTTCTGATGAATAGGAGATGGAGCTGATGGAGCTTTCCAGTTTGCCACCCGAAGGCATCAAACAGTAGGTTTCGCTCAGCCGAGGCTTCCCTTGACTCCTGTATGGCGTTCCCTTCGGAAACAGTGCAGAGGCGCACAAACCCGCCGGTCCCTAACTGACCAGACCCTACAAAAGACCCCGACTCCGGGTCCGGGTCCTGGAGGTGGCACGAAAGGCAACCCGGGAGCTCCCGGTACCATCGGCAGGCCTCAGGGCAAAAAAGGCTAAATGTGCTAAACGTGCTTGTGACGACAAGGCTTTTCAGAGGCGGTCTCTGCGACACTTGAAGTGATAAAATGATCCAGTCTGTCGTGTCAATGTTTCATGGTTAACTAGCACCGGCATGCAAGCAAAACGCTGAGATACCTGCCAAAAGGCATTCCGGGTATCATCGGCATGCCAGGCCTCGGCTATGTACATGGCTGGCGGCTTTGCTATTGTTGCAGAAGTAGGGGCCAGACATCATCATCAGCGGTGCTCCTGAAATTTTGGACCCAGCTTTCCGCACAAACAGGGCTGATCTGAGCTTGAAGTTTAGAAGAACCTTATAGTTGTTCCATATCAACCCCATATACTGGAGAGCGTCTTTACGCTTTGCTTTGGGCCGAGTCTGCATCATCACGAGCGAGGTACAAAAACTGCCGGGCCTGCGATCTTGGCGGGTTCCAAGTTTGAACGGTTTGGAGTGTGGTATTCCGGACGCGGGATTAGAAGTTCGTGTTGTGTAGTTCCGGTGCTCTTGAGGCGCGCTTCCCATTGTGCGGCTTGCGTGTCCCAAATTCTGACAGGCCCTCTGACTCTCACTGTAGCACCCCGAATAGACGGAGAACTCCCAATTGGCCAGCGACCTGAAACGAAACAACCGAACGTTGGTACGTCCTGGCACGCCCGGCATCGACGGCATCATGCCTGCCGAAAAGCTCTGGGAGCGCCCCCAGCCCCAAGTGCGCGCGACACGAAACCCAAAACCTCTGGCATGAAGCAACGCATACACTGGGACTAAATCTGAAAAGCTGTTGACTTCTGTGTACACATGGCAAGACAGAAGCGGAGCGGACCGTGACGTCACAATGACGACACCTCTCGAAAGCTTCCTAACGCGAGCGCAGCTAACCCACTGCGCTCGAGAGAAAGCTTCTGCTGAAAGTGCTCTCGGGCTCGGATCGAGTTCAGCTCGAAGTCTGCCAGAAAACCACAAGCAAAACTAACATTCGAAGGAGTCTGCTAGGCAAGCTGGCAAGCTTGTCTCGAGCAGTTGTCGGAAGCATCTGCCAAACCCACATGATTGTTTTGCATCCGAAACGAGGCAGAAAAGTGCATGTCAAGCAGCAGCGACGAAGACTCTACTAAACCATGTCGCTACCTGCGCTCCCTCTTCAAATAACTGAACCAAAAAATCCAATAGAATCAGCGCATGCCTGGCAATGGCAAAGACCTCAGGCTTGCATTTGTGAGGAGGATGGAGATAGATGAAAGTAGTCAAGTGCGTTGGACTTCCCAGCAACCGATAATATGGTAAGGCTGCGGGCTCATCACAACCTGACGCGGCCCATCTGCATAATCAGCAGCCTTGCTCGTCTTTTGCCTTGCAAACCCTTAGCCTCCGACCATTTATAGTTTCAAGACGGAGGTTGAGCCGTTGGGCTTGTGATTGAAGACTGATGTGTGGTAAAGCTTCGGAGCAGGGCATCGGATTCGGCTCTATGGCTTCTGGCTTCTGGCCTTCATTCACCAGACCGTGTGCCAGGTGCTCCAGCTCAAACTGGATTCTTGAAACCGCCTATAACTCTGAAGTGACCTAAGTGATTCGAACTGGAGCGACTCGAAGAGAGCGAAAATTTCAAACATGGCTTTAAAAGGTTCAGGCTCCACAGGTTTCAGGTTCTGACTTTGACTTTTGTGCACGGACCTGCGCCCCAAACACGGAAATCTATGTTTGCCTGTCCCCGAGCACTCAGACCCCCGCGCTGCAGCATTCTTCTCCTTGACCGAAGCAGGCTCTAAGTCCCATAAGTCTGTAGACCGTGAGGGCCGGGCAGCGAGCTCCAACAGGTTAGCCATGTATTGCTGACTCCAAATCGGAAGCTTAGAAAGCCCTGCGCAGCCTCCTCGTCCGGCGCAGAGACTTCGCTAACTTCGGACAGAGGGCTCATCGGCTCCTGCAATGAACGCTTTGTAGTCTTCTGATGCATCGTAAATCGATCAGGCTGTAGGTTTGGACTTGAGGGCACTTTAGGGCTCCATAAACAGATTGAAATTCAAGCATTCAAGCATTAGGGCTATGACTATGGAGGCCCTGCTTGCCGGAGCACAGGAATTGCTTCTGGACGCTTCAGGTGGCTTCGGCTGTCTTCGCATGCTTCGCAATATGGCGAGGGCAAGAACTGCGGGGTTGGATCCCTTGCACAAGGTACGGAGCTTCTGCCAAGGCTTGCAGAGCATTTGAGGCCCTACAACAGCCCACATGATGACATGATGAACGCGCGAACACCGAACTTCGAACAGCAAGAACATAACGCATCAGCAAGCCACGTGATTCCAACAACCGAAGCTCCCACAAAGTGCACAAGTTCATATCTGAGGTGTCCTGGGAACAGATTTGAGCTTGGGGCGGTAGGTATACACTCTGACCAGCTGGAGCGAGAGTGAAAAATTCAACAGTTCAAATCAATCCAAGCGGGACACCCAACATCAGTCACTTTCCCCAGTCACACAGATGCAGACATTCCTTTGTGCAGTCAAGCCTTGATCCAGTCCAGTCTTGAGCCAATGCCATTCGGCATCGTAGCATTCTCTAATGCATCTTGAACATTCGGGTGCACATTGGGACATTGGGCTCGTGTCATTTAACACAGTCCCTTGATCTTGACTTCAGTCGAAGATCATTCCGAAACAAACAAACGAGCATTGGTGGTGGCATTGGCGAAGCGATCAAAGGAAACAGTTAGAACAATCACTAATCAAAGCAGCGAAGGATCATTGGCTGCATTCCGGACTTTTGGCTCGACTCGGGATGACATTCGAGTCGTATCAAAACGGCATTGCCGGCTTGCACTGTACACGTGATCATTGCAGACAGTCGGCTAATGCTACATTCGGCTGAACCCGAGAACTTCATTCTCAGCTAACCACTGAAGAAATCCATTCAACATTTCAGGGGGAACTTCACATGTGCAAAACAATCGCAGTCACATTGGCGCTCCTAAATTATGCGGCTGCTCAGTGCATTCACTTCACAGTGCCCTTCGCATTCTTGCGGAGGACGATCTCAGAGCCGGGCTCGAGGGCATCCGCAACCTGCGCCAAGGCGACTCCGGAGGACGAGGCTGGATCATTCTTGCCCTTGGAGCAGTCGTGGTCCACGCCGGCATTCACACATTGCGTCAATGGAATCATCGTGTGACCCATCAATCGCCATTCCACGAAGTTGTGTCCTCGGTGGGTAGAGAACATGCCTCATTGGATGATATCATTCAAGGACAGCAGCAGTTTGGGGCTGCGTACGCACATTGGATCAGTCATTGGGACGCGAACAATCCCAGCACACATGCTCCAGTGTCCACTTCCAGTCTTCTAGGCCATTTCCATCCCACTCAAAGGTGCTGATGTGGTCAGTGAGTTGGCGATCAAAATAATTCGCCAGTTTCACTCGAGCATTGCCATTCGGTCCGCCAGCAACCCATCGTCTCATTGCGGCAGTCTTGGTGCGGCGGAACACCACAAAGGCAATCGGCTCGTCATTCTCACTATCCTCGAAGACTCCTTGGTTTGCCCATTGCACAGTATTCCTCAGTGCGCTGAGGGCATTGTAGCTGCGATTCAGCTGGTGGTGGCAAGGAAACTTTGCCAAATCCAGCACGCCATTGGTGTACAGTCGCGTTGCCATTGACAGCGGCAAGCAAAGCCAGTCGTAGACATTCACCAAGGCATTAGTGGCATTCTCCTTCGCGTACTGAGGAGCCAGCCATTCCACATGCCAGTTCCCCTTGGTAAGGACCAGGAAAAGTCGCTCGGCTTTCATCATTTGCGTCCAACTTGTTTCGATCATCCAACTTGTTTCAATCATCCAGTTGTTTGGGCCATTCGACTCATTCTGGATGTTGAAGGAGTGCATTCGCATTCTCAGCGAGCTCATTGGACCATTCGAGTGCTGGTCCGGGTGGTCGAAACGACAGACAGTCGTTCCTCCACTCCGCGTGCCTGGCAACAGCACACTAACCATTGGGAACATTTGATCGTCCCATTCTCTCTTGTAGAGAGATTCGGCCAGCCACTCTCTGGCGATCACTCTCCACCACCGGTGACCCAGTTGTCAAGGTCATTCCACACTCTGGTGAGCTCGGCTCCACAGTCCATCGCAGTCAGAGCGGCAGACACCTCCGCATTCACAGGGCCATGCCTGCTCAGTCGACGCGGCACCAGCACTTCATTAATCAAGTGCCCGGCTTCCCAAGGAACCGCATTCGCTGCCTCATTCGGTCCACTCGGAGCGGGAGCATCCGGAACCGAATCATTCGGCTTCTGAGCTGCAGTCGGAGGGGCAGTCTCTTCTGTGCCATTCCTCACATGGATGCCAAGGGCGGCATCAATCGCTGCAGGCTCACTCGTGGGAACACTCTCCGGCTGCACACAGTCGGGCGAATCACCGACAGTCTCTGCGCCAGTCGCTCGAGATCCGGGCGATCAGTCGGCAGTGCAACCAGGTTGCTTTGCACTCCAGTCTGCCTCACTTCTGCCTCAGTGAGGCCACTCAGAGCGGCAACATCAATCACCACTTACTCGGCAGTGATTTCCTCACACACATGCTCCGGCAGTGGTTCCATTCCCACTCGCTCGAAGGCTCCACTCTTTGGCACAGTCGAGGGCTTAGGGGCCATTGCTGCTACAGTCGGGCGAGCGGCGGAGGAAGCAATCTACACTACGGGCAGTCGACGCCACTACGGAACATTCAGCAAAACATTTCCGGGGAAACACATTGACCTCAGTCTGCAACACTAGGACCTAAATCAGTCCCTTGCATACATGCAATCTCACTTGCATACACTCCAGAAAACAGTCGGAAGCATTTCGCCACATTTCGGCAAAAGGAAAAGAAACAATCGCCAAACATTCGGCGAAATTCCATTCGGAATTCGGCGGGATCGGACATGTCGAAAACAAAAATCGGAGAAAACATTTCGGGAAAATTCTCTCATTCTCTCAACTCTCTCTTTCTTTGGTTTTGGGGTTTTCGTAATGGCGAAAGACTACATGGCGTTGATTGACCCGACTGGCAACCCTGTGCCGATTGTGCGACAAGGGACACTGGTGTATTTGACGCCGACTGTGATCCCCTACAATGTTGCTAATGCGGCAAGATTGGCAGCGACATGTCTGCCTGAGGTAATGTCGGGATTGGAGAAAGAGCTTGGCGCCTTCGGACGCGCATGACTGGTCAATCCACCTTTGTCAAATTGGTGCCTTGATTGCTTCTGCTCAGGGAATGAAATCCTCCGAAGGTGGAAGACAGGACACCTGGGAGGTAAATGAGACTGAGCTGAAGTTGATTCGTCATGTGAAAGTCTGGCGAAATGACATGTTGGATCCTCGGATCAAACTGGCAAATCGAATGCCGGTACCTGTGCTTCGCCTGACTGGCGAAAGAGTGACGCACAAGGTTTACCGAGACGGTTCGACTGTCACTGTCAGAAATGCCAATTTCTTGCCAATGACGAACGCCAGACCGCGAGATGAAAAGGTTCAGTGCACACATAGAATTGCACACTCAGCAAGCGACCATTGCGAGTCAAGTTGCACAATCTTCCTGCCTTGCAGCCTTGCACATCCAGTGTCTTTCCAGACAAGCTCCGCAGCGAGGGTGCACTCATTCAACGGCAGCGTCGGAGAATCCGGTGCAAACCACTCTGGACAACAAATCCGCGACTTGTCGACCAGTCCAGCTTGCATGTGAAACTCAATCAAGGTGTCGTCAGAATCAATCGGATCATTCTCAGGCAACTTACTTCCTCATTATCGGATCATTCTCAGGCAACTTCCTCAAGTTTGGCACACTCTGGTTCGGCATTGGTGGCACTCCGGAACTCAATGCACCAATCAACAAGCACGCTCCAACGAACAAGGTCGTCATCAGTCCAGGTTTCGCTCCCCGAACAATCCTAGCAGGTCTGGGAGCACTCTGATCCGACGAGTCGACAGTCACAGCCGAAACATTCTGTGGTGGTTCATTCTTGGCGGCGTCCTGAGGGACTTTCGAACCTGAGCTCGCGGCACCATTCGAACTCTGTGGCTGAGTCTCTGCAGAACTCCACCATTCCTGAGTGTTCCAGGACCAGTCCTCAGGCCAAGAACTCCATTCGTCCTCAAACCAAGACCAGTCACCGGACCAATCATGGACAGAACCAATCCACTCACCATTCCAATCCTGTTCTTCCCAGAGCCAATCATCATTCGACCAATCATCCAGATTCCAATCATCACTCCATTCTGTTGCATTTCCTTGCTAATCTTCCGTCACTGCTGACATTTTTCCTTTTCTTTTCGGGCATTCTCTACTCCAGTGGCTCGTGTCGCCACACAGAAAGCACCCTTGTCCTTTTCCTTTTCCTTTCGTTCCTTTTCCTTTGCCTTTTCCTTTTCCTTTGCCCTATCCTCTTCCTTTGTATCCTTTGAACATCCTTTTCCTTTGCATCCTTTTCCTTTCCTTTGGTACATTCCTTTTCCTCCTTTGTAATAACCTTTGCCTTTCATTTCCTTCTTTCCTTTCAACGCTCCTATGTCCATGTCGGCTTGATCTCCGTGATCAGTCCGACCACTCGGGACAGTCAGGCAGTCAGGTGTCTGCTCTTAAATGTACCCTTAAATAATTTCCAGTGCTTCATTGAACGTGTTGATATTCCTGACATTCAGCCTCAGATGCTGCTGCAGAGGACCGACAGTCTTCTGCATTAGCAACGTGACAAGCAGATCATTGTCAAGTGGTTTCCTTCTCAACCTGAAGCCAATAATCTCATTCAGGAGATTCGTGGAGCGCGCTCTCTCAGGCAGTGAGAACTGACTATACAATCGTCTCCAGATTTCGAATCCATTCTCTGTGTCCCCATTGCGCACAATCGCTCGCGCAGCGCCATCAGTGATTTGCGCCAGCATGTATGCCAGTTGTCTTGAGAACAGTGAAAGCTGATCATTCTGGGTTCGATTCTGCTGAACATTGAACGCTTCACAAAGGTCGTCAGTGATGGCAACATTCGATCCTTCCACATCGTCCATTAGCAGTTTTGCCAGGGGTTTGTACAATCCTACATATCGCTTCAGCTGCCACGACCAGTCTTCCCATTTCTCCAACTGTCCATGATAAACTGGTGGCGGGAACAGTTTGATCTCTCCGCCAAATCCCTCTGGTTCCAAAATCCAGTCCCTGATTCCAGAGCCGAAGCTCCGCTACCATGAAAAATTCACCAGTTCAAATCAATCCAAGCGGGACACCCAAGATCAATCACTTTCCCCAGTCACACAGATGCAGACATTCCTTTGTGCAGTCAAGCCTTGATCCAGTCTTGAGCCAATGCCATTCGGCATCGTAGCATTCTCTAATGCATCTTTAACATTCGGGTGCACATTGGGCTCGTGTCATTTAACAGAGAGAGAGAGAGAGAGAGAGAGAGAGAGAGAGAGAGAGAGAGAGAGAGAGAGAGAGAGAGAGAGAAGAGAGCGAGAGAGAGCGAGAGAGCGCGAGAGAGCGCGAGAGAGCGCGAGAGAGCGCGAGAGAGCGCGAGAGAGCGCGAGAGAGCGCGAGAGAGCGCGAGACAGCGCGAGACAGCGCGAGAGAGCGCGAGAGAGCGCGAGAGAGCGCGAGAGAGCGCGAGAGAGCGCGAGAGAGAGCGCGAGAGAGCGAGAGAGCGCGAGAGACGCGAGAGAGCGCGAGAGAGCGAGAGCGAGAGGTGCGAGAGAGCGCGAGAGAGGAGAGTAGCGCGAGAGAGAGAGAGAGAGACAGAGAGAGAGAGAGAGAGAGGCAAAGAGAGATAGAGAGAGAGAGAGAGAGAGAGAGAGAAGAGAGAGGCAGAGACAGAGAGAGACGGAGAAGAGGGGGAGAGAGAGAGAGAGAGAGAGAGAGAGAGAGAGAGAGAGAGAGAGAGAGAGAGAGAGAGAGAGAGAGAGAGAGAGCGAGAGAGAGCGAGAGAGCGCGAGAGAGCGCGAGAGAGCGCGAGAGAGCGCGAGAGAGCGCGAGAGAGCGCGAGAGAGCGCGAGAGAGCGCGAGACAGCGCGAGACAGCGCGAGAGAGCGCGAGAGAGCGCGAGAGAGCGCGAGAGAGCGCGAGAGAGCGCGAGAGAGCGCGAGAGAGCGCGAGAGAGCGCGAGAGAGCGCGAGAGAGCGCGAGAGAGCGCGAGAGAGTGCGAGAGAGCGCGAGAGAGCGCGAGAGAGCGCGAGAGAGCGCGAGAGAGCGCGAGAGAGAGCGAGAGAGAGAGAGAGAGACAGAGAGAGAGAGAGAGAGAGAGAGAGAGAGAGAGAGAGAGAGAGAGCGCGAGAGAGCGCGAGAGAGCGCGAGAGAGCGCGAGAGAGCGCGAGAGAGCGCGAGAGAGCGCGAGAGAGAGCGAGAGAGCGAGAGAGCGAGAGAGACAGAGAGAGAGAGAAGAGAGAGAGGAGAGATAGGGAGAGAGAGAGAGAGAGCGCGAGAGAGCGCGAGAGAGCGCGAGAGAGCGCGAGTGAGCGCGAGAGAGCCGAGGAGGAGCGCGAGAGAGAGCGAGAGAGCGGAGAGAGCGAGAGAGCGAGGAGGCGAGGGAGCGAGGGGAGGGGGAGAGGGAGAGGGGAGAGGGGGGAGGGGAGAGGGCGAGGGGGAGCAAGGGGGTGAGAGGGGGAGAGGGTGGAGAGGGGGAGAGGGGGAGAGGGGGAGAGGGGGAGAGGGGGAGAGGGGGTGAAACACTGAATGTTACACATCCAGGTGCCTGTCTGTTTCACGTATCACTTGCATGTATCCATGCCTGTTGCTCAAGGTTCTAGTGCAGTGGACTGTGTTCCTGTACGCCTAGCGAGGGGATACACGTCCAGGTTACATCTCAACGTGGTAGCGGAGCTCCCGGGAAACGGGAAGCTTCACACTTGTGGAGGTACCCGTTCGGTACTCTCTACACAGGTGGAGGCAACCGGAATAACCGGTGTGCTTCACTCAGGTGAAGGTGACCGGAGTCTCTCCGGCACACTTCACTCAGGTGAAGATAACCGGAAGAGCTTTCTCCCGGGGCTCGATCCAAGAACAGCGCGATGGCTAGCCACTCTGCGACTATCTTTGAGCATGATGGAGGAGATGAAGACTACCTCCTTCACGGCAGTGAATCTTACGCTACGAATCATCGTCATCTCAATGAACTACACCGTCTTTCAGCTTTCCAGCAGGTACCACCAAAACGCCAACCGCGATGGTGTTGGACTTGGGATGTACGAGAGCAATGGCTTCGAGAGTGGCCGCACAGGACCTCATGGAGTTCTGTGACAAGAACCAGAACTGTGGCATATGGTACACCATTGCTGAGACCACTTCTCAGTTTAATTACCTTTGCCAATTCCGAGTCGACCAAATGCAACCAGAAGTTGGTCATTTGCATGTACGACCGGGACTTTGCAGTTCAATCCACAGAGTTCGACATTGTGGAACAAGGGCATGTTCCCATTCTCATGTCCTTACCTCAGATGCGCAATCTTCGTTTCCAGTTCGAGCTCCATCCGGAAAAGGCCTTGCTCAGCAGCCCTGTTCTGGGAATCAAGGATGTGAGTCTGAAGGTTGCACCGAGCTCACACCTGGTACTTGACCTTCTTGAACTCAGTCAGTTGATGTGGAATGTGCGTTTCAGCAAACATAAGAAGTCGAGCTTCCTCACCTACTTCT